AGGTGTGGGAAGGAGCCCCACAGCATCCAGTGGAAGCCTAGCATTCCCCATGTACCCCAGGTGCGGTGAAGATCACCCCGGCCCACGACCAGAATGACTATGAGGTTGGGCAGCGGCACAGGCTGGAGGCCATCAGCATCATGGATTCCCGTGGGGCCCTTGTCAATGTGCCCCCGCCTTTCCTGGTGAGGCTCCCTGGGTGTGGGCCTGGCCGGCAGGTGCAGGACTATTTGGGCATTGCCATCATGAGGCTTTTCCACCCAGGGCCTGCCCAGGTTTGAGGCCAGGAAAGCTGTGCTGGCAGCACTGAAGGAGCAGGGTCTGTTCCGGGGCATCAAGGACAACCCCATGGTGGTGCCACTTTGCAAGTGAGGCTGGGGGCCAGCGCAGGTGGGAAAGGTGGGGCTTCTTCAGGTCCTCGCCACCTGGCCTCCTGTGACCCACTTTGTCCTCCAGCCGCTCCAAGGATGTGGTGGAGCCTCTGCTCAGACCGCAGTGGTACGTGCGCTGTGGGGAGATGGCTCAGGCTGCCAGTGCTGCTGTGACCCGGGGCGATCTCCGTATCCTGCCTGAGACCCATCAACGTACTTGGCATTCTTGGATGGACAACATCCGGTGTGTGGGGCTCAGTGTGGGATGATGGCCAGTTGAGGGGCACAGGCTGAGCATCCTGATTGACCCCTTGCCATTGGCAGGGACTGGTGTATCTCCCGGCAGCTGTGGTGGGGTCACCGGATCCCGGCCTATTTCATCACTGTCCATGACCCAGCCATACCTCCAGGGGAGGTGAGGATGGGCCAGAGCCAGATGTCTAGGGGGCTTTGGGTTTGTTGGACCCTTGGTCAGTGGGGAGTGCCTGGCTAAAGTAGATATACCCCTTTTGATACCCTGTCTGGCAGGACCCTGATGGGCGGTACTGGGTGAGTGGACGCAGTGAGGCAGAAGCCCGGGAGAAGGCAGCACAAGAGTTTGGAGTGTCCCCTGACAAGATCAGCCTCAAGCAAGGCAAGGCAGGCATGGTGGGTTGGATGTCAGCTGGGACTCTGGCCCTATTTCATGCCTTTCTAACCTCTGATCTTTGGTGTCTCCCAGATGAAGATGTATTGGACACCTGGTTCTCTTCTGGCCTCTTCCCCTTCTCCATCTTTGGCTGGCCCAACCAGGTGTGTTCCCTGAGGCAGGGTTGGGGTGGAGTGGGGTCTTGAAGGGGGATGTTTGACTTCCCTTGACACCCTCCTCTGTACCCAGTCAGAAGACCTTGGTGTGTTCTACCCTGGGACTCTGTTGGAGACAGGCCACGACATCCTCTTCTTCTGGGTGGCTCGAATGGTCATGCTTGGCCTGAAGCTCACTGGCAGGCTGCCCTTCAGAGAGGTGAGATGATGGCTAAGGCCCTGCACCAGCCGCACCTCCCCCTGCCTGCCTGTGCTGCTGCTCTAGCTCAGGCAGGCCTGGAATAGTTGTTGTGGCCTGGCCATGCTTCCTTTTCCTGGAGGGTGGAGCGCTTCTCACATTAAGCCATTGATTGAGCTGGTGGGGGTCACTGGGGGCCTGTGCTTCAGAGCTGGCAGATCCTGATTAGGGAAGGTCTCAGCCTCACTGGTCTTCCTACTACCCCCCCCACCCCCTCAGGTCTACCTCCATGCAATTGTGCGTGATGCTCACGGCCGGAAGATGAGCAAGTCTCTTGGCAATGTCATCGATCCCCTGGATGTTATCCATGGAGTGTCCTTGCAGGTAGGGCAGGCACTGGGTCAGGTGGGAACAACTGAGGGACTGTGGCTAGTGCAACCTGACCGCTGCCTCCTTCTCAGGGTCTCCATGACCAGCTACTGAACAGCAACCTGGATCCCACTGAGGTGGAGAAGGCCAAGGAAGGGCAGGTATGTGGGTGTACCTAGAGGTGGAGCCCCAGAGGTGGGCAGGGCTGACTGGGCCCTGTTCCCTTTGCTTCTTGTAGAAGACTGACTTCCCAGCCGGGATTCCTGAGTGTGGCACCGATGCCCTGCGGTTCGGACTCTGTGCCTACACCTCCCAGGGTATGGCACCCAGGCCTCAACTGCCCTGCCTCCTTCCCCAAGACACACTCCACCCTGGGCCTGTGCAGGTCCTCACTGGGAGGGAGAGCAGGGTGGAGTCACACTTATCCCTCCCTCAGGTAGGGACATCAACCTGGATGTGAACCGGATACTGGGGTACCGCCACTTCTGCAACAAGCTCTGGAATGCCACCAAGTTTGCCTTGCGTGGCCTTGGGAAAGGCTTTGTGCCGTTGCCTACCTCCAAGGTGAGGATCTGGTGGGTGCACCTTTGTCCCAGGAGTCAAGCACAGTCCCCCTTGTCGCAGAGAGTCCTCCCTGTAGCTTGAGGACAGGGTAGAGACAGGCACAGGCATTGGGGTGCCCCCTGGGCTTCTCCCTACACATTGGGGTGCCCCCTGGGCATTTCCCCACACATTGGGGTGCCCCCTAGACATCTCATCGCACATTGGTGTGCTCCCTGGGCTTCCCCCCACGTATTGGGGTGCCCCCTAGGTTTCTCCCCACACATTGGACACATCCAGTTGCTGTGGGCCCCATCAGGAATACAGATTTTCTTGTAGTCCCTATCTGTTCCTTTGGGGTCTGCTCCCCATCCTGGGTATGTGTCAGCCTATTGACACTCCTCTTCTCACAAGCCTGGTGGCCACGAGAGCCTGGTAGACCGCTGGATCCGCAGTCGGCTGACTGAGGCCGTGAGACTCAGCAATGAAGGCTTCCAGGCCTACGATTTCCCTGCTGTCACCACCGCCCAGTACAGCTTCTGGCTCTACGAGCTCTGTGATGTCTACTTGGTGAGAAGCAGCTGGGTGGGGCGTGGGGACTGATGCCCTGGCCTAGCTTTGCCCTTGGTTGGCTGTGAGACTGAGTCCACCTGTCACTTTCCCAGTCCTAACAGGCACAGTAAAGGCTCCAGGGAAGGCCTGCACCCTGAGCCCTGTGCATCCTCACCCCCTAGGAGTGCCTAAAACCTGTACTGAATGGAGTGGACCAGGTGGCAGCCGAGTGTGCCCGGCAGACCCTCTACACCTGCTTGGACGTCGGCCTGCGGCTGCTCTCGCCCTTCATGCCCTTTGTCACAGAGGAGCTGTTCCAGAGGCTGCCCCGGCGGACACCCAAAGCTCCTGCTAGCCTCTGTGTTACCCCCTACCCAGAGCCCTCAGAGGTATGGCGTGTGGTCTGGATGGGATGTTGCGACCCCCTCGCCTAGCCAGCGGCTTCCCTCACATCACCCCCCACTTCACAGTGCTCCTGGAAGGACCCTGAGGCAGAAGCTGCTCTTGAACTGGCACTGAGCATCACTCGAGTTGTGCGTTCCCTACGTGCGGACTACAACCTGACCCGGACCCGGCCCGACTGTGAGCTTCAGGCCCCCATGCCCATCCACCCCACTGTCCTTCACCACTCTGAGAACTCAGGGTCTGGCTGTGCCTCACCTTCCTCCTTCCTTGACAGGTTTTCTGGAAGTGGCTGATGAGGCGACAGGTGCCCTGGCATCAGCAGTGTCGGGCTACGTGCAGGCACTGGCCAGTGCAGGTGTGGTGGCTGTCCTGGCCCCGGGGGCTTCTGCACCACAGGGCTGTGCCGTGGCTGTGGCCTCGGACCGCTGTTCTATCCACCTGCAGCTGCAGGGGCTAGTGGACCCAGCCCGGGAGTTGGGCAAGCTGCAGGCCAAGCAAGGTGAGGCGCAGCGGCAGGCCCAGCGTTTGCGGGAGCGCCGCACTGCCTCTGGGTACTCTACAAAGGTGCCCCTTGAGGTCCAGGAGGCAGATGAAGCAAAGGTGTGTGCTATAGAGGGGTACCCTGCACCATCAGCCCCCTCTGTCATACCCCAATAGATGCGAGGCTGGTGTTGTGGGCTGTGCGTTCCCCAGCCCTGGCCAACCCACGAGGGAGGATAGAGCCCAGCCTCTGGCCAGTGGCTATGTATTCCCCTCCCTTCCCTGAGGGAACAGGCCTCAGGTTACATGGTACACCTAGGATTGGGCATCCTGCCTCCCAGACCCACCTGGCTGCTGGGAACATGGAAACACGTGCTGGGCTTCAGGAGCTGCAGGTCTAAGTGCCTGCTCCCACTTCTGTAGCCCTGGGCTGACCTAGGAAGCCAGGCTTGTCTCCTGCAGTGGACCCCACAAGCCCCTGCCTCCAGGCTCCTCCAGAGGAGTAGAGGGTAAACAGTGAGGCTGGGGGCCCCAGCTGTAGCGAGGTGCTTGCTCTTCTGGGGCCCTTGAGTAAACAGTCGCTTTTCCGCCTCCTTAAGGTTACAGTGACTGGCTGGTCCAGGTGTGGGCTCCTGCCCAGGTACGGTCCAGGCAGAACCTGTGCTCAGATGCTTTCGTTGGGCACTGACCACTGAGAAAGGGCCAAGAGGCTTTGGCATGGTGGAAATAGGGTGTTGGCAGGGACAGCTACAGCCCTGACCTCCCTGGTGTGGTCCTCTCATGTGTCACCCACTCGGGCCCCTGTTCCATCCGGGTGTTTGGATCTTGGTCCTGGGGCCTCACCACCCACCCCCTTTGCACTCTCAGTTGCAGCAGATGGAGACGGAGCTCAGGAAGGTGGACGAGGCCATCGCCCTGTTCCAGAAGATGCTGTGACACCAACTCCACCCTCAAAGCCCCAATGGACCATCACGGGGATGGCAACAATAAAATATTTTGCCACAAACTGCTGTTGTCTGCGTGTGGTGGGGACAGAAGGGTGCAGAGGCTCCCAAGTTCTTAGAGTCTGCTGCTCTGGGCAGCAGGAGGGTTGCCAGCGGAGAGCCAGGCACTGGGTCCTGGTGGGCAGAGGGATGCGCCTGTCTGGGTCTGTCTGGCACAGTGCCAGGCCTGAGTCACGCTGCTCTGCTGCTGGCTCTCTTCCTCCCCAGCACCTCACCTCGCGATGCACTGCGCTGTGGCCACGGAGGCCCGCCCTGGTCCCGCCCTGGCGCTGACTGCTGCTTGTAGCCCATGAGTAGGCGAGGGCCAGGGGCTGCTTGTCCTGACCCCGTCACCAGCGCCTCCCTCCCCCACTACTGAAGCCCAGTTAATTATAACTCTGACCTAAGTGCCCTGTGACGTCAAGCCCAGACCAACGGTGCCCCAGAGACCCAGCAACCAGGTAGGGGAGAGGCTCAAGACAAGACTTATTTCCTGTTCTTGGGGCAGGGCTGGGGCTCAGCCTTGGGTGGGAAGGGGACCTTGAGGAGGCGCCTTGGAGCCTTCCTTGTACTGGCAGGTGTATATCCAATTGGCTTGACAGGTTGTCTGGGGGACTGAGGGCCAGGGCTGGGGAGCCAGGCTGGAGTAGATGAGGCACCAGGTGTTCAGAGCAGACGGAGGGGGGACCGCAGGTGCTGGAGACAGCTGGGAAGCCCTGCTTCCACCTCCCGGAGATCCTTATGTTCCCTAGGTGCATGCCTTAGCCATGCTCCCTGCGGAGGTGCCCCTGTCCCTCCTGGGCCCCTCAACACTGCTTCTACTGCAGCTACTGCTGCCCTCCACATCTGCCTTCTTCCCCAACATCTGGAGCCTTCTGGCTGCCCCCGGCTCCATCACCCACCAGGACCTGACTGAGGAAGCTGCACTCAATGTCACCCTGCAGCTCTTCCTGGAGCAGCCACCCCCAGGCCGACCACCCCTTCATCTAGAGGACTTTGTGGTACGCACCCCCAGGTCCTCTCACATCCCTGAGGTCTTTATTCCTAGGGTCCTGGTGGTCACTAGAAGGGCCACCCCTCTACACCTGATCGCCCCCTCACTCCACCCTCTGCAACATCAAAACCTGGTCCTGAAATCCAGAGGGGTTCCCCCCCACTCCTCCCCCAGCCTTAGAAAAATCCAGACCTAGCTGGGTGTGGTGACACAGACCTGTAATCCCATGAGTCAGGATGATTGCTTTGAATTCAAGGCCAGCCTGGGCTATATAGTGAGTACCAGTTCAACCAGGGCTACACAAATGGGACCTTGTCTCAAAGGAGGAAAAAATGTCCAGACCTGTCCCTTGTGGAGCTCTGCCCCTTCTGTTCCACCCACACCCAGCCTTGGTGCCCGTGTGGGGCAGTGATCCAATAAGCAGCTTCCCTGGAGCCCCTTCCCCACCACTCTCTCTAGGGCCGAACCCTCCTTGCCGATGACCTCTTTGCCGCCTACTTTGGACCTGGGTATTCGTCCCGGCGGTTTCGAGGCGCTTTAGGTGAGGTGGCTCGTGCCAATGCAGCCCAGGACTTCCTGCCAATTTCTAGAAACAATCCTGACCTGCACTTTGATGCTGAGCGGCTGGTCCAGGGACGCAGTCACTTGGTGGTGGCTTTGCGGGAGACCCTGGTGGCAGCCAGAGCCCTTGAGTACACACTGGCCCGCCAGCGCCTGGGGGCTGCGCTTCATGCCCTGCAGGTGAGAAGAGGAAGGAACAGGCCTTGCCTGGCCCCTGCTGCCTTCTCAGCATACCTTCCCCGTTCTAGCTGGATGGGGTGCTGCTTGCTAGAGTTACATGACAGTGAGGTGGGGGCAGATTGGCTCATCCTGGGGGCCACTAGGAAGACTTTGGCTTGAACAGCAAGATGGAAGAGACCATGAGTTGAGTGTACATGGGCAAAGTTCCATTCTGGGCAATGGAAGGAGAGAGAAAGCAGAGGAACAGTAGGTTAGGTAGGAGCAGCTGGGTCAGGGGAGGAGACTTTTTGAATGGAGATTGCCAATGTCATGTGGGGGTTTGGGGCTGGAAACCATGACAAGATCAGACTGTTATTAGTGCCCCTTTCCCTTCTCTGCCGGGGGACAGGATTTCTATAGCCACAGCAACTGGGTGGAACTGGGGGAGCAGCAGCCACACCCTTACCTCCTCTGGCCAAGGCACGAGCTCTGGAGCCTGGCACAAGGTATGGCCCTGTGGAGAGGCAGAAGCCACTTCTTGGTCTACCCAGTACTGTCACCTTCTGGGGTCCCGCAGGATGTGATGTCCCTTCATCTCCGCAAGGACTGTGAGATCCCTTAGTCCAACTAAAGGCCAAGGCAGTTAAGTAGTTTCCCCAGCGTCCCACAAGGGAAGACAACCAGGACCAGCTGGAAGAGCCCATGCCTGTATTCCACATGGCTCGTTCTGTCCACCCCTGCTAACTCCACGGCCTCTCACAGTCCCCTCATGCTCCCAGGGAGGGAGCTGACCCCTGTCCATTGCAAGTTCACTTCTGTCTAGCTCACAGAGAGCAGAATCCCCATAAGATGTTTCCCCACACTTCCAGGGTTTTCTACAATAGCCCTAGTCCCAAGTTTTAAGTCCAAATGCTGGCCCAGGACCCAAGACAGTGCAGAAAGCCTGGCCAAGGTGCTTGTGGGTCTTTACATCTTTCCAGCTGAGTGGAAGAAGTTGGGTGCACAGGGCCCAAGTCAGGCTGGATTCTAGCCCTCTGTCCTCTGTTCCCAGTGGGGGATCCTACCTGCTCTGACTGTGAGGAGCTGAGCTGCCCTAGGAACATGCCTGAGTTCACACACCTCACCTCTGGCTACTTTGGAACTTATCCCCCCAAACCTCCAGGTACCAGACAGAAACACTCCCCAGAAGTAAGGAACAAAAGTCACCTCCTTTGATACTTACCCAGAATCTTGGTCCCATCTGCCACAGTGCCACTCCCTAACAGAAGGTGTTGGAGTTGGAACAGGGCGGGTGGGTGAAGGCACTCTGAGGAGGCCATGTCTTACTGCCTGTGAGCATTGTTGGGACCTGGCTGCAGAGACACAGGGACCCACCATATGCTGTGACAACTGACCCCTCCAGATTTCCTTTCATAGTGTCACCATTTCCTACTGTTCCCTTGCTGAGGGGTGAGAGGTTGGGGTTACAGCAGGTCAGAAGGAGCCCATAGTCTTAGGAAGCAGTGGGCGACTGACCCCGACCGCTACTCCAAAGCTCTTTCCTCAACCCAGGGAAATGTAGCCATGGGGGCCATTTTGACCAGAGCAGTTCCCAGCCTCCCCGGGGCGGTATCAACAAGGACAGCACATCCCCAAGCTTTTCCCCCCACCACATGCTGCACCCTCAGGCCGCAGATGTGGCCCTCCTCGCCTCCATTGAGGCCTTCAGCCTCCTGCGAAGCCGCCTGGGAGACAGGGGTTTTTCCAGGTGAGTGGCCTCCTGGAGACAGAACCCCCAATAGGTCAGTGTTCCTACGGAAAACCAGGGATTGGGGACAGAAGTACAGACCTTCACTGTATCTCTGATCTGCTGCCCAGACTGATGGACATCACCCCAGCCTCCAGCCTGAGCTTTGTCCTGGACACCACAGGCAGCATGGGTGAGGAGATCAATGCAGCCAAGATCCAGGCTCGCCGAATCATGGAGCAGCGGCGGGGCAGCCCCGTGGAGCCTGTCCACTATGTCCTGGTGCCCTTCCATGACCCAGGTAGCCACAGTCTTCAGGGACAGTGGAGGGAAGGGGGGCTGAAGGAGGAAGTAGGCTTTATGGCTCTACTTCCTTAGTTAAATGGTGATTCTTCCTATGGTCCTGAGTGAGCCTCTGCAGGGTCCCTGTCCCTGTGGAAAGCAAGTAACTGAGTGTATTGCTTCTAAAATGGTGGCCCTTTCCAAGAGTATTGCTGACTGAGGTACACGGCCTTGGCTTTCTTAGATGTACCAACACGTATTCTTGATTTGTATTATTTTATTTATTTTTTTGAGACAGAGTCTCACTCGAAGCCCAGGCTGACTGGAACTTACTATGTAGCTAGCCCAGGCTGGTTTCAAATTCATGGCACTCTTCTTGCCTTAACCTCCTGAGTGCTGAGATTACAGGTGTAAGCCTGGCCTACTGGTTTTTAGGCTTCCCTCCTCTTTTCTCCTCCCTCCCCTCTCTCCCCTCCCTCTCCTCTCCTCCTTTCTTTTCCTTCCTTTTTTCCCTCTCTCCCTCCCTCTCTTCCTCCCTCTTTTTCTTCTTCCTTCCTTGACAGAATCTCATGTAGCCCAGTCTGGCTTCAAACTCTTGCAATGTAGCTGAAGCTGGCCTTGAATTTGTGATCCTCCTGCCTCCGCCTCCCAAGTCCTGGGATTCCAGCTGTGGGCCGCCACCCTGGCACTCCATTTCCTTAGAGACTGGGATGAAGATGGGTCTGTTCCTGGTTGTATTTCTTTCCCCACTGAAGTGAAAGTCAGTTTATCTGGCCTGGGTCTAGCCTGGGTCTAGCCTGGGTCTAGCCTGGGTCTGCTCGTCTTTTTGTACCTGGGTTGGCTTTGCTTCAGTTTCATCATCTCTAAATTGGGTCAGTGCCTGACTTATCCTGTGCCACTCTGGGGGTTGAAATGACGATCAAATACAAGGCCTCCTGGACTGAGAATTCACTCAAGGAAATGCTTGGGTGACATTTAATAGGGACTTAGTACTTGTTTGATGAAGGTATGAATAAATAATAAAGATTTTAGTATGGTGTCCTGGCACTTTTCCAGGGCTTACAAAATCCACTCATTTACTCCTCCCAAAAAGCCTCTCAAGTAAGCACTATTATTTTCTCTTATAAAAATGTTTTAGACTAAAGGCTGGGTGTGGTGGTCCACACCTTTAGGCCCAGCACTCAGGAGGCAGAGGCAGGCAGATCTCTGTGAGTTTGAGGCCAGCCTGGTCTAGATAATGAGTTCCAGGCCAGCTGGGGCTACAGGGAGATCCTGTTTCGAAAAGACAAAAAAAAAAAAAAATTTAGGGTTGGATGTGCTGGTGTACACCTTTGATCCCAGCACTTGGGAGGCAGAACTGTAAATTCGAGGCCAGCCTGGTCTACATAGTGAATTCCATGACAGCCAGTGCTATATAGTAAGACCCTGTCTTGTTTGTTTGGTTTTTGGTCTTTTTTAAAAAAAATATTTTTATTTTATGTGTATGCGTGCGTGTGTTGCCTGCATGTAGGTAAGTGGTATGTGCACCTGTGTTGTAAAGCACCCTCAGAGGACAGAAGAGGCTGTTGGATCCCCTTGAACTGGAGTTTATGGGACAGCTATCAGCTGCCATGTGGGTGCTGGGATTCAAACCCGGGTCTTCTGCAAGAACAGCCAGCGTTTTTAACTGCTGAGCCATCTCTCCAGTCCATGGTATTTGGTCTTTTTGAGACAGATTCTTCCTGTAGCCCCAGCTGGCCTGGAACTCACTATGTAGACCAGGCTGGCCTTGAACTCATAGAGATCCGCCTGCCTCTGCCTCCCAAGTGCTGGGATTAAAGCTGTGTGCCACGTGCTTGGCAAGACCCTGTTTTTAAAAATTTTTTTTCTTTTAAACCAGGCATGGTGACACTTGCCTTTAATCCTAGCACTTAGGAGGCAAATAAAGGCAGATCTCTGTGAATTCAAGGCTAGCCTGGTCTACATAGCAAGTTCCAGGCCAGTCAGGGCTATATGGTAAGACTTTGTCTCAAAATTTTTTTTCATTACATTTATTTATTTGTGTGTGTAAGTGCATATGCACACACAGGACCACACATGCCATAGCGTGTGTGTGGAGGTCAGAAGACAACTTGGGGGAATCGGATCTCTCCTTCCACTATGTGGGACCTGGGGATTGAACGCAAGTCAGCAAATGTGGCAGCAAGTTCCTTCAGCCACTGAGCCATCCTGCCGGCTCTATTTTTGTGATGAAACTGACGGCCCAGTTGTGGTTTTATATAGGTACATGTACCCAATAAGGTCCCACTAGGGACCATAGAAGGTGCCACCATTTCGTAAGGGAAGTGAAGGCCCCCTTTTCCCACAGGGTACCAAGCCTTACCTTTCCCTGTTTGAGGACTATAAGGGTCCATATAAATAAAAAGGAACACGGGTCAGGTTGGCTCACTAGGTGAGGCAGTAGCCATGCAGGGCTGCCAATCTGAGTTCAACCCCCAGAATCCATCCAACCACTGAGCCATCTCTCCTGCCCCAGGAACACTGTTTCTGTTGTTCTTTCTCTGTGTACCTGGAGACGGAGCCTCATGCTCGCCAAGCAGGGAACAATGTTATGTCAACATGTGTCCACCTCTGGAGCAAGTGGGCTTCTGAATGGGGTAGAAAGTCTCCCTCATCTCGCCTTCCCTTTCCCCCTGTCCAGGGTTCGGCCCTGTCTTTACGTCCAGTGATCCTGACAGCTTCTGGCAGCAGCTCAATGAGATCCACGCCTTGGGCGGTGGAGATGAACCTGAGATGTGCCTGTCTGCACTGGAGGTCTGAGGTTCTCATCCCTTTCCCTCTTATCCCGCCCTTTCCAGGCCTTGCCACCAGGGGGAGCTGGAGCGCCGCCCCCCCCCCCCCCCCCCCCCCCCCCCCCCTCTCCCCCACCCTGCTACTGCCATTTTTAACACCAGCCTTTTCCTCCCCACCAGCTAGCCCTGCTGCACACACCTCCTCTCTCCGACATCTTTGTCTTCACTGACGCCTCCCCCAAGGATGCTTTTCTCACCAACCGGGTGGAGTCCCTGACTCGGGAGAGGCGCTGCAGGGTGAGCGCAGCAGGTGGCGACCCACTGTTAGCCGCCCAAGGATGGGAAACAAGAGGAGTCTAGAAGGCGCCCCTCACCATGCCCTGAGCATACTCAAGAGTGGAAGACCTCGCCCTTAGCAATACTGACCTGTTCGTGTTTGAACTGGTCCAATAAGCCGTTCAAAGAATTGGGCAAACGAGGGCTGGGCTGTAGCTCAGTGCTGAGTATTTACCTAGCAGTGTGAGGCCCAGGGAGCGCTGGCTCAGCGGTTAAGAGCATTGGCTGTTCTTGCAGAGGACTTGGGTTTGATTCTCAACACCCCTATGGCAACTAACAACTGTCCCTAACTCCAGTTCCAGAGAATTTAAGACCCTCTTCTGGCCTCCGTGGGCATTATATGCATGTGATATACTTAGATGCATGCATATAAAACACTCTGACACATATACATAAAATAAAAATAACAGGCATGGTGGCTCATGTCCAGCACCTGGGAGGCAGAGGCAGATGGATCTCTATGAGTTCAAGGCCAGCCTGGTCTGCATAGTGAGTTCCAGGCCAACTGGGGCTACAAAGAGACCATGTCTCAAAAAGATTTTTTTAAAAATTAGTTAAATAAAATTTAAGGGCTGGAGAGATGGCTCAGCGGTTAAGAACACTGGTTGTTCCTGTAGAAGACCCAAGTTGAATCCCAGCACCCACATGGCAGCTAACAACTGTCCTAACTCCAGTTCCAGAGGATCCAACAGCCTCTTCTGTCCTCTGTGGGCATTGCATGACACGGGTGCACTTACCTACACGCAGGCAATACACTCATACACATAAAATTAAAAATAATAAAATATTTTAAAAATTTAAATAAAAATTTAAAACTTAAAAAAAACAATTGGGTTAGAGAGATGCTCAGTGGTTAAGAACACTGGCTGCTCTTGCAGAGGACTTGGGTTTGGTTCCCAGCACCCACATGGTAGCTAACAACCATAGCTCTAGTTCCAGGGGATCTAATGCCCTCTTCTGGCCTCCATAGGCATATTGCATGATACAGGTGCACTTATATACATGCAGGCAAAACACGCATACATATAAAATAAAAAATAAAAAAAAATTAAAAAGGATTAAAAACAAAGTGGAGAACCAGCTTGTCAAAACTCCATTGTAAAGTGCAGTGATAGTCACGAGGGGTGGTCAGCTCAGCACTGGGGAGCCAAGGGCTCGTGTCGTTGGGAGGCCCTACCATATCAACCAGAGGGTAGCCAGTACTGAAGAGAGAGGAGCAGAGGACTCCTCATTTACAGTACATGGTACTTGGCTACCTCAAGCAGTGGGCTGTCATCTGGCCACAGGTGACATTCCTAGTGACTGAAGACCCATCGCGAATTCACGGCCGAGCCCGGCGCGAGGTCTTGTCTCCTCTGCGTTTTGAGCCATATGAAGCAGTGGCCCTGGCATCGGGAGGAGAGGTGATCTTCACCAAAGACCAGCACATTCAAGATGTGGCAGGCATTGTGGGGGAGAGCATGGCTGGTCTGGTGAGTGGAGGCCGGGGGGGCGATCCATGTCCTTAGATTAGAACTGGGAAAGTGCGTGCTCTTCCTCCTCCTCCTTTGGAGACAGGGTCTGTGTAGCTCTGGCTCGCCTAGAAATCACTATGTAGACCCAATTGGACTAGATCTCAGAGATCCACCTGCCTCTACTGGAACTAAAGGCATGCACATGCCACCATGCCTGGCCAGTCCTGTCGTCTTTTATGGGAGAATCCTTCATTTCCCACTATGTCACTCAGCATAGTAACATCTCTGGTCCTGAGCCTCTTGGTATCCCTTCTCCTTGTGTGAGGTAATAATGTCTCTCCATCTCCATCTTTTTCTGGTCCTGTTCCTGCCCCAAGGTGACTCTTCCCCTGGAACCTCCTGTCATTGTACCTGGGAAACCATGTGTGTTTACTGTGGACAGACTGCTCCGGAAGGTCACAGTCCGGTTGCATGGAGACATCAGCAGCTTCTGGATTAGAAGTCCTACAGGTACTCTAGGGGTGGCTTAAGGCAGAGAAAAATAGAGAGCAGGGAACAAGGGGGCTGTGCTGAAGGAAAGGAATCATTTCATGTGACAATCTCTTGTCCCCATCCCAGGGGAGTCCCAGGGCCAGGAGGAAGGCATGGGTCCCCTGGGTCATACTCACCGCTTTGGACAGTTCTGGATGGTGACCATGACTGATCCCCCTCAGATAGGGACTTGGGAGCTCCAGGTAGCAGCTGAGGGGACCCCCCGGGTGAGAGTGCAAGGTAAGGAGCCAGGTGTTCCTGGGAAGGGGCAGGGGAGAGTCAGGACTCTGAGCAGCAAGGCCACAGTCCTCTCAGGAAGATCTGCCTGCCTCCCCAGCCCAGACCTCCCTGGACTTCCTCTTCTGCTTTGGGATCCCCATGGAGGATGGACCCCACCCTGGCCTCTACCCCCTGAGTCAGCCTGTTGCAGGTACCTCCTGACCACCCTCCCTCAGTTCACTACAGATACATGTGTAAATGCGTGTGTATATTTTAAAATATTTTTATTAATACTTTGAGAATTTCACACAATATATTTCGATCCTATTCAACGCCCGCTCTTTCCCAATCCATTCCCACCTCCCTATCCCTCAGCTTCCCCAGATACATATACACTAAGTGCCCTCTTTTTTTTTTTTTTGGTCTTTTTGAGACAGGGTCTCCCTGTAGACCCAGCTGGCCTGGAACTCACTATGTAGACCAGGCCGGCCTGGAGCTCACAGAAATCCCCCTGCCTCTGCCTCCCGAGTGCTGGGATTAAAGGCATGCACCACCACGCCCGGCATGTCCCCCTTTTAAATAACCCATTTTGTCTAATTTGTGCTGCCCAGATATTCTTGGGTGTGGGGCCATCCACTGGTATGTGGCCGACCTACCCGGGCTGCACCCTCGTATGTGTCTTTTATTAAGGGTGCTAAATGGAAAGGTGCAGCTTGATGGATTTCACATACTATGCCCATGTTGCCATCACCAAGTCAAGGCCATTCATTCCTTTCTCCGGATGCTCTCAATCTTGCACAGACCTGTTCTCCCCTCCCATCTCAGGTCTCCAGACCCAGCTGCTGGTAGAACTGACAGGGCGTGTCTCCAGACCGACACTTGAGGATTCAGAGCCACATTTCTCCCACGTTGTCCTTCGAAGGATCCCAGAGGGCACTGAACTGGGCCGGGTGTCCTTGGAACCCGTGGGACCCCTGGAGCGAGGCCTCCTGGCTGCCTCACTGCCGACCAGGCTGCTGTCCACCTCGGTGCCTTTCTCCCTGGAGCTGATTGGCCAGGATGGAGGCGGGCAGGGCCTGCACCGGGCTGCCCCCCAGCCTTGCATGGTGGCTCCTGTGCTTCTGGAGGTGAGATGCACAGGGAGCAGCGGGCCAGGACCACCTGCCCCTCCCCGAAGCTCACGGGTCCAGCAGGGCACCAGGGCTACCTCCTGACTTGCCCCTCCCTACAGCTCACTGGTCCCCCAGGTTTCTTGGCCCCAGGCAGCAAGGCCCCGCTCAGCATCCGCATCACCAGCTTCTCGGGCCCCCAGGACCTGGACCTCAGGACAGGTGTCAGCCCCGGCTTCGCCCTGTCCTCCAACCTCACCAGGTGAGTGCCCCAACCTGGGGTTCCGACGCAAGTGCTGCCCTGGCCTCTTCTGAGCCTGCAGCACCAGCCTGGTCTCACTCTGCAGTTCTGTCCTCTTTCCAGTGCTCGCCTGGCACCAAATGGGTCTGCATGGGGCCGCCTGTGGCTGGAGGTCCCAGGCTCAGCAGCCCCGAACTGCGTGGTGATGGTGACTGTGACCGCAGTGGGACAAAGAGGCAGCCCGGGGCCTCCCACCCACGCCTTCCTCAGGCTCCTGGTGCTGGCGCAGGTGAGACCTCTTCCTCCCAGGGGCAGACGTCACCCTGGAGGAAGGACCTCACCTTGGAGGGCCTCATCCTGGAGGCCCTCACCCTGGTGGACCTCACCCTGGAGGCCCTCACCCTGGTGGACCTCATCCTGGCCTTCTCCTTCTCTCCAGGAGCAGCTCGAGGCCTCTGCCCACCCTGCCGGTCCTGTGCTCCCTCCAGCCACCCCTGCCTTGCCACCCTCTACTTTGGTGACTGGGGGGAGGGCCGGGGGAGGGATGGCCAGCAAGGCCTGGTGGGGCACACTTGGGGGGATGCTGTTCCTGCTAGGCTTAGCCTCCTGGTAACAACAGGCCCTTAAGGATGGGAAGGTCACATGACCTCAGGGCCTGCCTGGCCTTTTCCAGCAGCACAGGGATTTTTACTGCACATTTCTTTCTTAAGAGTGGCCAGCCAGGTATGGTGGCACATACCTGTGGTCCCTAGGATGTGGAGGCTGAGGCAGGAGGACCTCTGTGAATTCAAGGCTAGCCTGAGCTATGAGACCCTATCTCTGCACCTTTAGTCCACTAACAAGTCATCAGGCTCAGGTAGAGGGAAGACCATGGAGAGCACCAGCAAGTATTCGTCATGTGGTTTTTGTTTTAAATTTGGGGGCAGCTTTTTCATTTTTGCTTTAAAGCCTAAGGAAGGTTTCAATGAACATGTCTTCTCCTCAGAGAAATTCTGAAGATGGATCATTCTTGCACACGGTATATGGGAGCGCGAGGGCAAGGGGCATTAAGAAATGGGAAGCTTTCAGGCGTTGGGGACACTCTCTGGAGATGTCTGATTTCATTGACCCATGGCCTGGAGCCATTGGCTGTTGAATGAAGACAGAATAAGGTAGGGAGGTTCTAAGTCCACCACAGCTGTCTACACCAGCGTAGGGCCCCTCTGCCCATGGGGGCAGCCTGGCTGAGCCCCCTCCTCCTCGGGCTGATGGCTACCTTTCCACTGCTTTGACAGTTCCTGGAGAAGAGAGAAACAGCCTGGGCGTCTGCACCTTCCCACCCTGGGGCCAGGGTCTTTCACACCCCTTGTTTGTCTGTTTCCTTGGCCTTTCCCTCTGGTCTGGGTAGTGCAGGAACCAGGCTTGGTTAACAGAGTGGGGATGGTGGAGGAGGGCCACTGTTCGCTAGTAAATCAGTGCTGACTAACAACTCCCCTCTCTAGTCCCACGTCCCCAAAGTCTGTAAACTAAAAACAGTAAACTTACCTTCTGAATCAGATTTTGCAAACAGGCATTCACCTTTTGAATCTGGGGTAACTGAGGGGCGTCAGCCTCTGACTGTAAATCTATTAGAAAATTCTAGAGGGGTTGGAGGGTCACAATGTGGTAAAAGCAGGACCACCTGCCTGGTACCCCTTCAGCACAGGCCACTCTTATGTGGATTCCCTCACCAGCCCTTTCAGACAGGTGGAAAAGTCCAGTTCTTGCCTCCTCCATCTCCTTAACAGCAGTTTCCTTCAAACAGCATGGTACCTTCCCCCTGTTCTTCCTGGATCCTCCCTGCCCATGCCTTGTTGAGGAACCCAGGCTATTCTCCCACTCTCCATGGAGACATCCACATGGCGTCGCTCTGAATGGAATGTAGACCAGCCTCCTCCAGCCCAACAGTGAACTCTGGCCTAACACTGGTGGCATCCTGTCATCCCAGCGCTGCCCCAGTTCACGATCCCTGTCACTTAACTCTCCCCTCTCCAGAGCAAACTCTGCCTAGCCACACGCTCGCTCCTGCTTCTCCCTCACCCAGCCCATCCACACAGAGGGGATGCCCCACCTCACCAAGGGCCCCCAGATGCAACTGTTGTTGCTGTGCTTCCCTCAGACGATCTGCAAACCAGGCCCAGCCATGCTCCAGCAGCTCCAGCCCCTGCCACAGGGCATCCTGTTACCTCTCCAGAGCCTGTATCCTCTGCAGCTCGCTTAGAGAAGAAACACATACAGACTCACACCCAGCAGGACCCTGGCTACTGCCCTTTCTCCCAAAGGGCTCACTGGTCATTAAGTAGGAGTCAGACTGGCTATAGAGGACCCAAAGGTCAAGGGGAAGTAGGAGGACAGCCTCTTGAGTCCTTGGGGTTGAGAGGAAACATAAAGGGCAGATCAAGGGAGGAAGTGTGGCCTGAGACCTTGTCAGGCTAATACCCAAAGAAAGAAGCTCTGGGCCCCTGGGTCTTGGTGGCTCGTCCTCAGTGGCAGCAGAACAGTATAGGGTGCCTGGGTTGGGGTGGCCCACCAGGGCCCAGGCTCCCCGTGGCTCTGAAGTGAGACTGGAGCCACTCCCACTGCGGCACCCAGGGCTGGTCCCTCCCCCTCCCGCCTGCCTGGACTTCCAAACTCTCTGGCCTCTTCCCACAGCATGTCTGAGTCCAGGAAGAGACTGGCTCCCTTGAAGCGGTCTATAGTCCCTTCGGTCTGTTTCTGTCAAGCCCTCTGGAATGGCTTCTTGTCATTAAGTCTGGATGAAACTGGAGGTCTCCCTAAGCAGTGCCACTGTTTTTTTTTTTTTTTGCTTTTGGTCTTTTTGTGACAGGATCTCCCTGTAGCCCCAGCTGTCCTGGAACTCACTATGTAGACCAGGCTGGCCTCTAACTCACAGAGATCCACCTGCCTCTGCCTCCTGAGTGCTGGGATTAAAGACATGTGCCACCACGCCCAGCTCCACTATTGTTTTAGAAGGGGTGTGTGTGTGTGGAGAGAGAGAGAGAGAGAGAGAGAGGGAGAGAGAAGAGAGAGAGAGAGAGCTGGAGCCCATGGAGGCAAGAGAAGTGTGTTGGATCCCCTGGAACTGGAGTGATTGAAGGTTGGGAGCCACCCTGTGGGTGCTGGGAACTGAACCCATCCTCTGCAACAGCAGCCAATGCTCTTAACCGCTGAGCTGTCTCCAGCCCTGTCATGCATTTTTAATGTGGAATGCTCCTGTTTCCGCTCATTCCTATTGTCCTGTTTCACATGACTTAAGGAAACAGTAACTTTATCCAAAATAAACTTTATTCCTAATGTAAAACAAAATTTTGTGCAAACTGAGAACTCTGGGCCTAAGGGAGAAACGGAAAGAGGCATGGCAGCATCAGGGCCTCAGGTAGTTGGAAAGGCAGAGGAGGGACTCTCAGAGGATAGTGGTGGCAGCAGGCAGCACCTCCTGACTCATGAAAACGTCCAAATCCACGCTGGGATCTTCCAAATCCAGTTTTAGAAACTTATCCACCAAAGCCTGGCAACTGAAGGGGAGAGAGACCTGGAAATTCTGGGTCGCCAATTTTCCAAGTAGAGGGGAGGGCTGTGCACAGGAAGCCCACGGCCCTCAAGATCACGGATTTCAGAAAAGTCGATGCTGCTGTTCCAGGTTGGTTGGTTGGTTTTTTTCTGACAAGGTCTTGCTATGTCTCCTATGTTGGCCTTAAACTCTGGAATCACGGGCAAGCACACCACCCTGGCTTGGTGCTGGTGAAGGGCACAGTGCTGGAGGAAGGCCCTGTACAAGGAGAAGGGCTGGAGAAGAAGCTGATGAGGGAAGACTTGGGAGCACAGACTTACTTCTCCATTTGGTTCTTCCTTAGCAACTCCTTTATGGGAGTGATGGGTTTTCCACTGCGGATCAAGTCCGAGACCTAGCGCAAGAAGGGGGTGTGTTGGAGAAGAGAGGAACTCGGGGTCAGAAGTCCTGTGGCCTAGAAGCCCAGGGCTCCAGGAGGAGCAGGTGGCTGGACACCAGGTCTCATCACCTCTTTGCCACGAGCAATGAGTCGGTCAGGAAGCCCAGCTTGGGCAGCGGTGTAGGAGGCGTGGCTGGCATTGGCCACACCTTGGCAAAGCTGGTAGAAGAAGACGATGTCATTCCCATCCTCACAAGTCTCCATGGTCTTGAAAGAATAAAAGGGGGGAGTGAGCCGTCAATCACCCTGCCTTCTGCCCTGAACCCATTGGCCAATCCCTGTGGAGACTGAGAGGGAAGAGACCGGCCAGATAATCTCACCAAATACTGCACCAGGGGCCCTTGAGGCAGCAGCTGTAGCTGAACAAGGCTCAGGAAGTTGGTGGCCACAAAGATGTGGGGGCAGGTGGGTCCAAGCGCTACCCAGTGTCGGAGCACAGCAGCCAGAAGTGCGAGCCCGTCCACCTGTCCAGAGGGCAGCGATGAGGGCCCGTCTGCATTGCCCTGGACTTCCCCATCTCACCCTCTCTCCTTTCCTGCCCACACATCTCCGTTCTTTCCCCAGGCCCAGCCTCAGTCCCGTGCTCCCTCCCCTCCTCTTCCCCCGGCCTCGACTTCTGCTTCTCCCTCACCGTGTTGGTCCCCTTCCCGAATTCATCCATCAGGACCAGAGACTGCTCCGTTGCATTATTCACCGCTTTCGCCACCTGCTGGGCGTGCGGTGAACAGGAGTTTGGTTCGCACTGGGCTCCCACCAGCCAGGGCACAGGCCTCCCGCACACACGCCCCTCCGCACTACAAGCCTCTCAGTGTCGAAGCTCACGCTTTGCTCGGCCTTCACTTGCCAGCACGGCCTCATGAAGAGCAGTTTCAGAAACGTTTACATCACTTCCTCCATTCTGACCTGGGTGCTCCTGGCCCCAAATACAGAGGACAGAGCAGAGACACTCCTGCTCTGAGCACCTCCAGGGACAGCTCCCTTCTCATTGTCCCCTCCCCTCACCCACCTCATTTTGCCCCCTTTGACCTGGTTGAGGTCGATCATGAAGGTAGAGAGACCAAGGGAGATGGATTCGCAGCTATGAATTCGGGTGAAGATGGCATCGATAGCCCCAATTGTGGCCTCTTCTGCTGGTACAAAGCTGCCCACAAGGGCCATGAACGTGATCAAGCCTACCTGGATGGGGAGGAGACAGGATGTGGGGCCTGGTGGTATGGCCTGAAGTAAAGTAGCACTCAGGAGATGACATGAGTCATAGATCAAAGAGAGGGGGACAGAATGTAACAGAACAAGGATAGAGCACACTGCCTCCCTGTGCTGCCCGTCCTGACTTCATATTTGTGAAGAGGGACAGGTGAACGGACTTGGGAATGACATATACCTATTCAGAGGTTGGTCAAGGGACTTCAGCCATGGAAAGGTCTATCGGAACATGGCTTGCTCTCTCAGGTAGATGACACAGGAGAGCAGAGGATTTGGGCGGGCTGGCATGCATGGGGGCATGTGGAGAAGATAGCAGAGGCCCAGGTTGTTGGGCTTCTCCTCACCTGTTTAAGGTATACACTCTTCCCTGATGAGTTGGGTCCAGTGATGACTTTGACCCTCCCTTGTTCCCCACTGCAGTCTGTGGAGTTGGGCACGAATGTTCGCGCACATAGTTCCATCAGAGGATGCCTGTGGTGGGTGGAGGGGCACTTGGCAAAGTCTGTGGCTCAAGGTGGAACCCCACCAGAAGAATGGAGCCTACGGGCACTTCTGTCTCTGTCTCTACCCTCCTCACCTGCCATTCCGGATTTGAACCCCATGGAGTTGTGGAGAGTAATGAGGCCTTGAGTAGCCATACTCCCGGGCTGCACTGGCAAGAGCCAGCAGGACATCCAGGCGGGAGGCAAGGTCCAATACTCGAGTCAAGACAGATGCCCGTGCCAGCACCTGGCACTGCAACTGGTACATCAACAGGGTTTCCTGGTCTGGGAGTGGGTGAGGGAAAGGAACTGGGGGTCAATCCCAGGGAAAGAGCTGGAAACAGGAATGCAGGTGCAAGTCTGAGACTCAGAGCCATTCGGAAGGGAAGGTGTCGAGTTGGAGTGAGAGAGAGCAGAACGAAAAGGAGCCTGTTAGAGCTGCCTGCTCCCCCAGCCTTGGGGTCCTCACCCCGGATCTCGCAGTGCAGGTCCCCCAACAGTGCATCCAGCTCCTTGGTTCTTGCACTGCGGTAGTGCAGCTTCTCCTCTGAGAGAAACTGGTACAAGGATTCAAAGCTGCAGGCATCTCACCTCTTGGTCCTCCTCCACCCTCCGGCCTTTCTAACCCACCCCTAGCATCTCTTGGTCCTCCTCTACCCTCCGGCCTTTCTAACCCACCCCTAGCATCTCTTGGTCCTCCTCTACCCTCCGGCCTTTCTAACCCACCCCTAGCATCTCTTGGTCCTCCTCTACCCTCCGGCCTTTCTAACCCACCCCTAGCATCTCTTGGTCCTCCTCTACCCTCCGGCCTTTCTAACCCACCCCTAGCATCTCTTGGTCCTCCTCTACCCTCCGGCCTTTCTAACCCACCCCTAGCATCTCTTGGTCCTCCTCCGCCCTCCAGCCTTTCTAACCCACCCCTAGCATCTCTTGGTCCTCCTCTGCCCTCCGGCCTTTCTAACCCACCCCTAGCATCTCTTGGTCCTCCTCCGCTCTCCAGCCTTTCTAACCCACCCCTAGCATCTCTTGGTCCTCCTCTTGGTCCTCCTCCTTCTAACCCACCCCTAGCATCTCTTGGTCCTCCTCCGCCCTCCGGCCTTTCTAACCCACCCCTAGCACCCCATCGGCTTCTCTGCTTTGTCTCAGAGCTGGTGACGCTCAGGGTTAAGCCTCAGAGAGGATCCCATGCATTGAGCAGCGCTGATGGGTCAGGCCTTGCTTTAGGTGCTGATTCATTGTCCTTATCAATCCCTCCTCCCCAGAGGTCAGGGGCCTTACCATGAAGTCTAGTCCCTCAACCTCAAAGTCACTGGCCTCCAACATGGAAGACAGGCGGGGAATGGAAAGAAGGAAGCCGATCTGGGGAGAATAAAGAGGAGACAGATCAGGGAGTAACCTACTGGGTACCCTCTTTCCCTAAAGGAAACCAGACACCACTCAGATCCCCCACCCCTTTCTCAGGGACCTAAAGCCATCAAAAGGTTTACATTGAATTCCTAGATGTGAGGGTGACCTGGCTGTGACATCTGTCACACCACAGAACACCAGGGTTGATTTGGCTGCTCTGGCTGGCTAGGTGGGTGTCCCCTTCCTCCCTCACAGCTCTATGTGTGACCTTGTCCAGTAGAGGAGGATGGTTCTTTGATCAAGGATAAAGGAGTAGCTGCACTCCCCTTGAAGGGTGTTCCTGCCCTTCGATGCTCATGAACTCTCTCACCCACTGATTCTCCTTCTTAAGTCTAATATCTCTCTAGAGAACTCCTGGAACCTTCCCCACGCCCCGTCCTCACCAGAGGGATGTAGATGACACTGCATGAGGGAACACAAGAGTCCAGATTCTCTAGCTCCTTCTGAGCAACTTCTGTGAGGAAACTGGGAAGACCCATCAGTCTTCGTTTTTCTAGGAGGGTAGAAAAATACATGCATTTAAAAAAAAAATAGGGGGCTGGAGAGATGGCTCAGCAGTTAAGAGCACTGACTGTTCTTGCAGAGGACCTGGTTTGATTCCCAGCACCCACATGGCGGCTAAAAACCGTCCTTAACTCCAGTTCCAGGGGAATCTGAAGCCCTCTTTGGACCTCCGTGGCATTGCACAACACAGGTGCACTCACATACATGCAGGCAATACACTCATACACATATAATTTTTAAAAATTAAAAAAAAAGATACAAGAGGATTAGGAGTTTAAGGCCAAGCCAGGTGACATAAGACTGTCAAAAAAAAAAAAAAAAAGGTCTGATTGGCTGGGTGTGGTGGTACATGCCTGTGATCTAAACACTCCAGAGGTGGAGGCTGGAGGATTAAGAGTTTGAGGTCTTCATTCACTACACATTAAGTTTTAGGCTAGCTTGGGGTATATGAGACTGCCTCAAAAATCCCAGCACTTCAGAGGCAGAGGCACGTGAAGCTCTGTGAGTTCAAGGCCAGCCTGCTCTACCTACTGAGTTCCAGGCTAGCTGGGGCTACAGAGTGGAACCTTGTCTCAAAAACACAAACAGAAAACAAAAACAAAAACAGGGCTGGAGAGATGCTCAGCGGTTAAGAGCACTGGCTGCTCTTACAGAGGACCTGGATTCAGTTCCCAGCACCCACATGGCGGCTAACAACTGTCTCTAACTCCAGTTCTGGGGGAACAATGACCTCTGAGGGCATTGCACACACAGGTGCACTTACATACATGCATGCAAAACACTCATACACATAAATAAAAATAAATTAATTAAAAAATTAAACACAGGCTAGAGAGACGGCTCAGCGGTTAAGAACACTGACTGTTCTTGCAGAAGACTCAGGTTCGAATCCCAGCACCCACATGGCAGCTAACAACTGTCCGTAATGCCAGTTCCAGGGGATCCAACAGTCTCTTCTGTCCTTCACGGGCATTGCATGACATGGGTGCACTTACCTACATGCAGGCAATACATGCATACACATAAAAATAATAAATAAAATATTTAAAAAAATTAAACACAACACAAAAACAACAACAAAGAGGACCAGTCCCTGCTCTGGCTGCCCTGTGTTCCAGCTGTGCTGTCTGCCTGTGAGCACCCCTGGTTGAGCCAGGCCCACCCCACATCCACCACTCACTCCCTGTGAACACCCCTGGCTGGGCCAGGCCCACCACACACTCACTCTCATCTATCTCAGGGTCTATGTTGGGGAGGACTGTGAAGCGATTTTCAGCAAGACTTCTCTCAAAGTCCACCTGAGGAGAAGATAAGTCCAGTTTCCCACACCCAGCAGCGCCATCTCTGTCCTGCTCTGGGTTCCCCGCACTCCTCCTTCAGTCTGCTGCTCCGCACCTCCTCCCACCACCCTTTTCTTTAGTCCAATCTCAACATCTCCCACGCTCCAGCACCTCCCCCGCCACATCCCCTAGCCCCAGCCCCTCCCTATGCTGCCCCACCCCTGTTCATCTTCCATCCTCAGGTGCCTCTCTTCCTTCCACTCACCACTTTCCCAATGAGACTGGCAATGTAGTACAGGTCATCGGAAAACTCTTGGGCGATGTCCCGAAAAAGCTGGATGGACTGGGGCAGGGAGCGGCAGGCATCCCTCAGGCCCAGGGCACTGTACACAGTCTGCGGGTGAAAGGTACCAAGGAATGTGGCCCGCCCAGGGGCGCTGAGAACAAAGACCGGGAGGAGGGAGATCAGGCGGGGTGGGGATGCTGTGTGTGTATGGAGGGGGGTGTACCTGTACAGCTCTGCCAGGCTAAGCAGCACTACAGAGACAATCAAGATAGACAAGGGTGCTGGGTCAGCTCGGTCTGGTAAGGGAAGGACATGAAGAAGGTTTAAAAAGAAAGTGGTACAAGTTTTGGTAAAGTTTTATATAAACTTCCAGGTCGGGTGGGCAGGTAGCTGGGTGACAGAGCCCCTGCCAAGCACTTGCCCAGCATATGTGAGACCCTGAGTTTGGTCCTCAGCACCAAAAGACAGAGCCAGAGTAAGCAAGAGAGCCAGAGCCAGAGCCAAAGAGAGAGAAACAGAGACAGAGACAGACAGAGACAGAGACAGAGACAGAGGAGATTAAACGCCACAAAAGGAGGGCAAAAGAGAAATAGGAATAGAAAAGTCAGGAAAAGGGGGCCAGAGGATGGCTCAGTGAGTGAAGGTGACTGCTGTGAAGCCTGACAACCTGATTTTGATCCCCAGAACCCACTTAGTGGCATGAAAGACTGTCATAGGTTGTCCTCTCTGACCTCCATATGCAAGCCATGGTACATGCAAGTGCCTACACACACACACACACACACACACACACGGCGGGGGGTGGGGGAGATTTAAAAAAAAAGCCAGCCAGATGTGGTGTACGTCTTTAATCCCATTGGATCTCTATGAGTTAGAGGTCACCCTGGTCTACTTGGTGAATTCCAGGCCAGCCAGGACTACATAGTGAGATTCTATCTCAAACAAAGATAAGTGTTTTTTTTAAGCCAGGAAAGAAGTGAACAAGAGGAGGCAGTGACAGGAGGAGTGCAGAAGAAAGGAAAGGCGGCATCCATCAAAGGCTTGATCTTGAGGGTCACTGACCCAAGAAGCTGATTTAACCATAGATTATACTGAGGACAGAATCCTACCTATCTGAGGGAGTGTTGCTCTGTGGAAGGGTCATATAAAGTACACAGGTCAAAGGGCTTAAGACAAGATAAGCAAGCAGCAGAAACATATATAGATGAATCAATGCAGGACAAACAGACCCCAGTGGATGGTGCCACACCCAGTGTATGCACAGCACAACTGGGGTCAATGGCTTATTAAACTGAAAAAAAAAGAGAACATAAACTTGCATGGGTAGGGACGTGGGGCGGATCTGGAAGGAGTTAAGGGAAGAGAGGGGTGAGTATGACCAAAATATGTTGAATGAAAATTTCAAAAAATATATTAGCCAAGTTGTAGAAATGATGAGAAGTACTAGAGAATTTTAGAAACAAGATGAGGGGCTGGAGAGATGCTCAGGGTTAAGAACACTGACTGCCCTTGCAGAGGACCCAGGTTCAGTTCCCAGCACCCACATGGTGGTTCACAACCATCTGTAACCCCAGTTCCAGGGGATCCAATGCCCTTTCCTGGCCTTCATAGACATTGCATGACATGGGTGTACTTTACATGCATGCAGGTAAAATGCTCATGCACATAAAATAAACATAAACTTTAAAAAATGTTTAAAGAAAAAAGAAAGGGAAGAATATGGCCTAGAACACTTTGGAAAGGCTTGTCAGAGAAAAGGGAATGGATTAGCTCTGAATCATGATTCAAAAGTCAGGTGAAGGCACAAGCAGGACAAACGCTCAGAGGAGGAAGCGCTGACTGACTTGTGTGACACACAGTACTCAGAATTTCCACGTGAGTTCATTTAATCGAGGCCTTGGAACAGCCCTGTGAGAGGCCGCCTCCTCTTCCTCCTCCTCCTCCTCCTCCTCTTCCTCCTCCTCCTCCTCCTCCTCCCAGAGTGACTCTGTCACAAGAAGTTTGACATTTACTGCTTTGCTACAACGGACTCCGCCCCACATAAGAGGCACCTTCCCTAGCAAGAATTTCTGACTGACAGCAGCTGGGACCACATATTCCACAATTTGGTCACCAAAGTGGCAATTATCCTTTATTTCTCCTGTCTAAGCTCACCACAAACATTGCGACATCTCCACAAATGCCACCTAATGGTTTGTGTCACCCACGCAGGAGGAGCAGAGCATGCATGCATGTGTTTGGACGTAAACACAAACTTGCATGCATATCCAATCATACACACGATCATATGTGAAAATGCACAAGCATATTTGCATACATAATTAAACATATACACATCCACATGTTAGCTGGAGGAGGGACTCATCCATTTAATCAATGTTTATGAAGACAACTGTGGATCCATCCTAAGAAAAAGAATTGGCATTGCTCCCAAGGAAGTTTGCCATCAATAGATGATATAAACAGCCGTGTAAGTCGTCAGTTACAGACAAAAGAGGCAATGGAAAGCCAGCAATGCCATTCGACCTAACAGTAGGCTCAGTTTTCCGAGGAAAGGTGGAGGTGAATTTGACTCTTTGAGGTGACCAGGAAAGAAGTGCCTACAAGCGAAAAAGCAAAATGTCTGCACCTGCGAGTAGTCAACCCGACTTGGCTTTAGGAGGTAAGAGAGGAGGTTAGGGGCAGCACGTCCAGACAACCTGGGTTTCCAGACAATATGGGCCCCCCCCGCCATCTCCTGGAGAGTAAACCCAGGGCCTCACAAGTGCTATGAAAATGCTCTACCACTAAGCTAAAACCTCAGCCCTCTTTTTATTCTGAGATATGTTCTCACTCTGTTACCCTGGTTGACCTCTAACTCACTCTGTAGCTCAGGCTGGCCTTAAGTCTCTGCTGGGTGTGGTGGTGTAGGCTGAAATACCAGCACTCAGGAGACTCAGGCAAAAGGTATCACAAGTTCAAGGTCTGCTTGGGCTTCATCTTTTTTTGTTGTTTTGTTTTTTATTTTTGTTTTTTTTTTTTGAGACAGGGTCTCACTATGTAGACCAGGCTGGCCTTGAACTCACAGAGGTCTGCCTGCCTCTGCCTTCCAAGTGCTGGGATTAAAGGCATGTGCCACCATGACAGGCCTCTACTTAGTATATTCAAAGCTAGCCTAGACTACATTTTGAGACCTTGTTACAAAGGTAATCATAGAAATGAACCTCAGTGCTTGAGAGCCCTCAGAGGCAGGAGGATTGCCACAAAGTTGAGAGCCTAGTCCACATAGTGAGTTCTAGGATAGCCAGGGCTACATAGTGAGACCTGCCTCAAGATAGAGAGACAGATAGACAGACAGATATAGATAGATGGTACATAGATATTTTAAAAATTTAGCCAGGAGTGGTGGCATACACTTTTAGTTCCAACACTCAGCAGGCAGAGGCAGGCGGATCTCTGTGAGTTCAAGGGTACTATGAGGGGCTAGGGATCTAGCTCAGTTGTAGAGGATTTGCCTAGCATGTGTGAGGTAATAGGTTCAATCCCTAGCAATGAAAAAAAAAAAGACAGCTGTTCTGTGATTATGTGGGATGTTATTAAAGGAAGGTAGGCAAAAGGTTATATGAACTCTACAACGTTTGTAACTTTTTTTTTGGGGGGGGGTCTTTTTGAGACAGGGTCTCCCTGTAGCCCCAGCTGTCCTGGAACTCACTATGCAGACCAGGCTGGCCTTGAACTCACAGAGATCCACCTGCCTCTGCCTCCTGAGTGCTGGGATTAAAGGTGTGCGCCACCATGCCTGGCATAATTTTTAAATCTTAAATTACTTCAGAAATTAGAAAATTAGAAAGATAAATATTAAAATTCAAAAACATGAAATGTTTTATATTCGTGGTGAGGGAACAGAGACAGAAGCTACATTAATAAAGTGTCTTTTGTCTGGATGACACAGCTTTGGAGCTGTGCAACTATTTTACATAATTATAAATTAAAAACTTTAAAGGAAGTTCCAAAATATGAAAAGTGGAATGAAATAAATGACCATACTAAAAGTGCATTACACAGAGCACATTGACAGGATGACCAGTACATGGCAGATTAGCTACACGTCCTTCGTGAGGATGAAAAGAAACAATTTCCATTCCCCCCAAATCTTTTGTTTCCTCTTCCCTTTTCTGCAGTGCTGAGGACAAAACCAGGGCACCGACCTGCCGCCACTGGCAGAAAGGCAATGCTGGTGGGGACAGGCAGAAGGATACAGGGGTGAAGTTACAGCTCTGCAGCTAAGCTGCTGGCATCAGTGCCTATTTTTAAAGAAATAACTGAAATATTATGGATGAAATAATTAATGGCTAGAGATAAAGATGATGAAAGCTGCCCTGCGTAAAAGCACTGAGGCTGCGTGGTATACAAGGGCAGTGATTACATTAGTCTTTTTTTTTTTTTTTTTTTTTTTTTTTTGTCTTTTTGAGACAGGGTCTCCCTGTCGCCCCAGCTGTCCTGGAACTATGTAGACCAGGCTGGCCTCGAACTCACAGAGATCCGCTTGCCTGTGCCTCCCGAGTGCTGGGATTAAAGGCATGCACCACCATTCCCGGCGTATCTCTATTTTTTTTGTGACAGGGTCTCCCCTGTAGCCCCAGCTGGCCTGGAACTCACTATATAGACCAGGCTGGCCCAGAACTCACAGAGATTCACCTGCCTCAGCCTCCCGAGTGCTGGGACTAAAGGTGTGTGCCACCACACCCAGCTATTCTCTATATTTTTAATATTTTCCACAACATAAAATTTTTTAAAAGTGGGATAAAGTTTGACAGGGTGTCCAGGGTGAAGAGGGTCTGGAACAGAGCTAAGAAGCCCAACTAGGATTGCCAGGATCAAGAAGGGAAGCCTATAACCACAACAATCAGGAGGAAGAGGTAGGAGGATCCTAAGTTTGTGGCCAACCCAGGCTACATAGTGAGACCTTGACTCAAAAAAAATGGAGGCCTGGAGTTTGAAGGGATGGCTCAATGGTTAAGTTACTATTCTTGCAAGGGACCTGAGTTCTGTTCCCATCATCTACTTCAGGCGCTTTACAACTGCCTGTAACTCCAGCTCCACAGGGATCTGACACCTCGACCTCTACAGGCACGTACACTCACATGTACATACACATACACAGACACAGAAACATACAAATAATTAAAACTCAATAAATCTATTTTTCTTATAAAAGGAGCCCTTACCTTGTAGAGAACCTGCCAGTCCCTGACCTTAGTACTGGCCAATTTCATGCGTTTCAGAATCAGCTAAAGGCAGACAAAGCGACAGTCGCTATTTTCCCTCTACCACCTGACACCCCCCAAGAAACTTGAAGTCCAGTTTCAGCCCTCAGCCTCCTTCCCCACCTCCCTGCTCCCCCCCTGAGCTCACGGGCACGTTCCTGATGTGGCTCAAGAGGCGATGCAGCATCTGAGCCATGTCCAGATTCTGAGGCAGCAGAAAAAACTGAATGACGTCCAGACGGGAATTGAGTTCCCTTAGTTCATGGGTTGGACGTGTGAACCACAGCCTTGAGGGAAGGTTGAGATGGGAAGATTAGAACATCTGTGCTGTCATCTGGGTTTTGATGGAAGTCTCTGGGGATTGTGGCAGTATGTGTCTGCAACCTGCCATGAGGGCTGAACTGGTAAGAGCAGTGCCCTGCTTGGGTATGTTTGTATGTATCTACTGAAGTTGCTGTGTGAGACCACGCCTGTCTGGATATCATGGCTTGACGAATAAGACCATGTGTCACTCCATGTGGATACATGATGGAGCTTGTCAATATTGTGGAGGGAGAGCAGCGTGTTGTGGTATCTGTGTGCCAACACTGTAGCTCTTCATGGCTGAACAGGACGGTGAGTCAGTGAGTCTGCATAGCCATATGTAGCTGTGAAAGCATCTTGAGGAAACAGCACAGACTTTCATCTTTTTATGTTCTTCCTGCAAAAGTATCTGTAATTGTCCCATGTGGATGCTGAGCCTGCAATCCCTTCACTCATTCCTCTTTCATTTTCTTCCTTTTTTCTCCTTTCCTTTTCTTTCAGCAATGCTTGGGATTGAACTTGGGCCTTCTCATGTTCTCTGCCAGCACTGTACCCTGAGCTACACCCCCAGGCTCAGATTTTTTTTGTCTTTTTGAAGCAGGGTCTCCCTGTAGCCCCAGCTGTCCTGGAACTCACTATGTAGACCAGGCTGGCCTTGAACTCACAGAGATCTGCCTGCCTCTGCCTCCCAAGTGCTGGGATTAAAGGTGTGTGCCACCGTGCCTGGCCCGAGATTTTCTTTTTAAGGCAGGGTCTCAAATAGCTCATGTGGCCTCAGACTTGCTAGGCTGGCCTTGAACTCCTGAATCTCTTACCTTTACCTCCTAAGTGCTATGGCTGCAGGTGTGGGCCACCAGGTCCACTCACAGCCTACAATTTTGTGTGCATGCACACATACACTCACACTACGACACTCATTGGATATCAGAGGACAACTCTGTGAAGTTGGTTCTGTTCTTCTACCTATACGAGGGCTCTGGGCATCAAACTCAGTTTGCTAGGTTTGCACAAGCATTTTTATCTACAGAGCCATCTCGACAGCCCTTAGCCTACAACTCTTTCCTTCCTCCCTCCATTCCTTCCTCCCAGCTTTACATGGATTCTGGAGATTCGAACTCAGCTCCTCATCTCATAGTCCTGTAGCAGTTTACCCACCGATCATCAGGCCTATCAGCTTGAAGCCACAGGGGTCTATAGTTCATCATTCAGGTCATGATTCTATGCCCTCTGTATTCATATGGTAAATCTGCATTCTTCCCCATCTCCCATCTGTTGTGTTTGTTTTCTTTGAGGCTTGCCTCAAATTCACTATTTAGTTGAGGATGACCTTGAACTTCTGGTCTTCCCCCTCCATCTCCTGGATTACATGTCTGCTTTAAGTGGTGTTGAGGATTGAACCCAGGGCCTCACATATGCTTGGCACACACTCTACCAACGGAGCTACATCCTCAGCCCTCACTTAAAAAAAATTAAGTGTCGTGTTTGTATCTGTGTGAGGTGTATGCCATGTTTGTGCAGGTGCCCAAGGAGGCCAGAAGAGGCTATTGAATTTCCTGGAACTAGAATTACAGGTGGTTGTGAGCCACCCTGACGTGGGTACTAGGAACCAAACTCAGGTCCTCTAGAAGAGTAGCAAGAGCTCTTCGCCCGAGGCATCTCTCCAGTGCCACCACCCCCATTTTTATTTATGTTTTACAACAGTCCTGCAGTGTATCAAACTTGATACATTCCTTGTGCCACAGCCTGCCAAGTGCTGGGGTTACAGGTTTGTGCTATTATGCTTGATTTCTGGTTTTGAGACAGTCTCTCTGCAGCCCCAGCTGACCTGGAACTATGTAGACCAGACTGATCTCAAAGTCATAGAGATCCACCTGCCTCTGCCTCCCAAGTGCTGGGATTAAAGGTGTGGGCCACCAAACAGGGCTTTTTCTTCCTTTATAAAAAATTTATGTGTGCCAGGCATGGTGCCACACGCCTGTAGTCCCAGCACTTGGGAGGCAGAGGCAGGCGGATCTCTGTGAGTTCAAGGCCAGCCTGGTCTACATAGTGAGTTCCAGGACAGCTGGGGCTACAGGGAGACCCTGCTTCAAAAAGACAAAAAATAAAAAATAAAAAATAATTTATGTGTGTGTTTTGCCTGCATGTAAGTGCACCAATTGCATGCAATGCCCAAAGAGGTCAAAAGAGGGCATGGAACTGGAGTATTGGGTGTGAGCCACTATGTGGTGCTGGGAACGGAATCCAGATCCTCCTCAAGAGCAGCCAGTGCTCTTAACCACCAAACCAACTCCATAGCCCGCCCCCCTTTTTCGTCTTCATACAGGATCTTGCCATGTAGCTCAGGCAGTCTCAAATTCCTGATAATCTCCTGCCTCATCCTCCCAATTGCTGAGACTACAGCTATGTTCCAGCAGTGGTTCTCCCTATCTTTAATCTAGGACTCTTCTCCATGGAGAATTCTTTCCATCCAAGCTGGACATGGTAGCCCATTCTTATAATTCTAGCACCTGGAGACAGAGACAGGAGGATTACCAGAAGTTTGAGGCCAACTTGGTGAGTTTCAGGACCATCTGGGCTACATAGTGAGACCTTGTCTAAAAACAACACAGAAAAACAAAGGGCCTGGAGAGATGGCACAGTGGTTAAGCACACATGCTGTTCTTCCAGAGGACCTAGATTCGATTCCCAGCACCCACATGGCAGCTACAACCATCATAACTCCAGTTCCAGGGATCTGACATCCTCTCTGGCCTCTGTGGGGCATCACATGCAAGTGGTGCACATACATATATGCAGGCAAAACACACACATAAAAATAATTTTTTTTGGTCTTTTTGAGACAGGGTCTCTCTGTAGCCCCAGCTGTCCTGGAACTCACTATGTAGACCAGGCTGGCCTTGAACTCAGAGATCCAACTGCCTCTGCCTCCTGAGTGCTGGGATTAAAGGTGTGCGCCACCACACCTGGCAAATTTTTTTTTTTTAAAGAGCAAAAAAGATTCCCTTCCAACACTAGTTGAAATGAGAGATTTATACTGGATGAACCAAGGAAGAGTAATTAAATTACTCTGCCAATTACCTGGAGATGACCTCAGAGATTACCGTAAATTAGCCCCCAGAAGGCACAGATTGCAGAAGGATTGGTGAGGAAAGGCCTGTCAGCCTGTCATCTCACAATGTCTCACCTCTGGTTTTGAAAGTGATGTAGCCAAGTGGTTACATCACCCACTAGTGCTTTACCTACAGTCAGGTGCTGACAGTGAGGTGACAGGTGACACAAGAGCTCACAGATACACTGCAGCTGATTCACTAGCTAATTCTAACCTGAGGTGACAGTCCATTTGTAAAACATAAACAAGTACCATGTGTGCACAGGACAGTCTATATCCGCCTCCTAACGTGTTCCAGTGGGAGCGCCACCAAAAACAGAGTTCGTTTGACCCTGGAAGAGGAGATAAAATTTTGACAGAGAAGAACAAAGAACAAACGACCTTCCAGAGGGAAAAATAATCAACACAGGCATGATGTGTTTGCACACATAGCAAGTGAACAGAAATAACCAGAATAAAGAGCAGAGCCAATAGAAAAGGGTTTTCAAGGTGTCTGAGAATGTGAGCCTACAGATTAAAACTGAGGTTCCGGCTGGTGTGGCGGTGCTCGCCTTTAAGCCCAGCACTCAGGAGACAAAGGTAGCAGGATTTTATGAATAGAGGTCAACCTGGTTTACATAGTGAGTTCTAGGCCAGCTAGGGGTACAGGAAGACCTTGTCTCAAAAAAATAAACTAGATCAAATGCAAACATGATGATTAATTTTGTCAACTTGAGACAATCTAAAGTCATCTGGGAAAAGGGCCCCGAAAATGTCCATGAGGGATCTTTTTTAAACTTTTTATTTTACGTGTATGTGTGTATTGCCTGCATGGATGTAAGTGCTCCCATGTCATGCAGTGCCCAAGGAAGCCAGAAGAGGGTGTCTGATCCCCTGGAACAGGAGTTAGGGACAGTTGTTAGCTGCCACGTGGGTGCTGGGATTTGAGCCCGGGTCCTCTGTAAGAGCAGCCAGTGCTCATTGAGCTGAGCCCCAGACAGGATTATCTTAACTATGCTCTCTGATGTGGGAGGACTCACCCACTGTTGGTGAAATCATTCCCTTGGTTTGGGATCCTAGACTGAAACAAAAGGGGAAAGCTGGGGCTGGAGAGCTGCTCAGTGGTTGAGAGCACTGGCTGCTCTTGCAGAGGGACCTGCATTGTTTTCCTAGCACCACATGGTGGTTGACAACTGCCCCAACCTCCAGTTCCAGGGGAGATACAACACCTTCTTCTGGCTTCTGAGGACACTACATGCACATGGTACATTTACATACATGTAAGCAAGACACTCTACACAAAGTCACATGCTGAGCTGTGTCAAGATGGCAGGTGTTTTAGAATAATGAATACTAGACATTAGAAAGTGCTCTGAAAACAAATTATAAGCAAGATGAGTGTGGTGGCACACACCTGTAATCCTAGCACTCGGGAGGCAGAAGCAGGCAGATCTCAGAGATCAAGGCCAGCCTGGTCTATATTGAAAACTTCAGGCCAGCTGGGGCTGCAGGTAGACCCTGTCTCAAAAAAGCAAAAATTAAAAATAAAAAAAGAGCTGGGTGTGGTGGCACATTCCTTTAATCCCAGCACTCAGGAGGCAGAAGCAGGCGGATCTCTGTGAGTTCAAGGCCAGCCTGGTCTACATAGTAAGTTCCAGGACAGCTAGAGCTACAGGGAGACCCTGTCTCAAAAAGACGATAAATAAATAAATAAATAAATAAATAGAATTGGAAAAAAAGAGACATTAGAGGTAGAGACCAATTTGGAGGTAAATGGAATGCTTCCAATTAGAAACAATGACAGCCAGGATCAGAACAACAGAGACAGGGAGGAAGGGATGGTGGGGAGAGCGTCCCCGAGAGTAGTAGCACTAGTGGTAAATGAGTACAGAGAGGTGAAGGAGAAGTGTCCATCCGAGGTCCATATCCTGAGCTGTTCCACTGCTGCAAGCCACTAACTAGAAAGAAGAGGAAAATGCCTGGGTGTTCTGAGGTTAGGTACTCAGGGAAGTGCGGGCGATGGTTTGCAGTTGCCATGCCATACATGGAGTTCAGAACTGGAGACACAAACTTGGGAGATAGCGGTGAGTAGCTCTGTTGTTCTTTAAGATGGGGTCTCATGTAGCCCAAGTTGGCCCAGCTCCTGATCCTTCTGCCTCAGCCTCCCAGGTGTTGGGATTACAAGGGACATGTGCCACTACACCCTGCTTGAATAGCTTCATTTTTGTGTGTGTGTCTATGTATACGTTTGTAGGGGGTACATCTGTGCTGGTGTGCATGCACGTACGTACATGTGTAGGTGGAAGTCACAGTGTCTTTCTCACTTGCTCTCCACCTTATTTTTTGAGACCATCTCTCACTGAACCTAGCGCTCCATCTTCCCAATTCAGGGATTACAATTTGGCTTTACATGGGTGCTGGGGATCAAAGCCCAGGTCCTCACACTTGCATAGTAAGCACCTTTCTCACTGTGAACATTTCACCATGTCATGCAATGCCCATATCCCTTGGAATTGGAGTCACAGATGGTTGTTAGCTGCCATGTGGGTTCTGGGAATTAAATCCGGGTCTTCTGAAAAAGCATCCAGTGCTTTAACTGCTGAGCCATCTCTCCAGCTCCAACAGTTCAGAGTTTTTGAGGTGTGGTGTGGCTGGTTTTGTTATTGTTTAGATTTTTGTTTTGTTCCTTGTTTTGCTGTGCTGAGGCTGGAACTCAGGGACTCACATAACACCCCCAGCCTCTAAAGTGGTATATAAATAAGACTTTGTGCTATATTAGTGCTTTACGGTGAAGTTTCTGCTGCTTGTATCTATCTGCAAGTCTATACCATCAGTGGTATGTATTTGTATAGACATACATAAGTGAGGATAATACTAGCTGCTACATGGGGTTATGAATGGGCAACGGTTTTACTTCCAGATGAAATGATGTAGCAGTCTATAGACTATTAGTAGGCATCAGTACTTAGTGTGTAGACAACTCTTGCATTTGTGTAGACACACATGCACATCTGAGACAAGCTCACCTGAGCAGCTTCTCTCCCCACTTGCAGCGGCATCTGTTCAGGATTCCTGTGGGGGGATGCATAGGGAGTAAACTTGTTATAAGGTAGGCTAGCCTGGGGGTCCATGTTTGGACACAAAGGCAGCCAAAGCCTTGTGGCTGTCCAGAGTGGAGCCAGGGTTACCATCCCTGGAGATGATAGAAGGAATGGACACTAAGCCAGGAAAGTATAGCTCTAGCTAAGGCTCACAGAGAGCCCAACACACATGTGAAATGTAGATTCAGCCTAGTGAGCGATTGGACACTTAGAGCCATGTCCCTATACCAGAAAGCTAGAGGAATCAGACAGACTATGCAAATCAAAGTTGTCAAGTAACTCTCCTAAATACCCCTACTAGGTACAATTATGAGACACATTCATACAGATCCAGAGAAGACACAGAATTGGTAAGGTCACAGCTGATGGGATAACGACATGTATGACCACAGAGTATGGAGAGATGCTCAAGCTCAGAGTGGGCACAAAGAGACACATGGCAATAACACATGAAGAGAGGTACTGGACGTATCTACAGTCAACGCTTTTCTAGCAGGCTTCTGTAGTGTGGGGTGAGAAATGGGGCATACCTACCAAAGAGGCTGAGCCCTTCCTTTAGTCCACTGGCCACTTTGTACACTGAGGGATGAGACTCGCTCTTAAAAATCTGTAGAACACTGTCAGAGAGAAATGGGGGGGGGTATATTCATGTATGTACGTACTTGTATGCAAGTGAATAAGCCCATATGCATGCATGTGGAGGCCAGAGGAGGACATTGGGTGTCCTCTCTCTGTGCCTTATTCTCTTGAGACAGGGTCTCTCACTAACCTGAACCTGTCCATTTTTCAGCTAGGCTGACAGTCAGCAATCCTCCTGTCTCTGCCCCTCCCAGCACAAATGCTTTTTGATATGGGTGTGTGGGATCCAAACTCAGGCAGCAAGTGCTCTTACCCACTGAGCCATCCATCTCCCTAACCCCAGCAATGGTTGTTTTTTTTTTTTGTTGTTTTTGTTTTTTTGTTTTTGTTTTGTTTTTTTAATGGGAAAGGGAATTGGAAACTGAAAAAGAAACAGGATTGAGAACATCCTCTTCATCATCTTGATGCAAAGTTTATTCCTCACTTTTCTTTAGAAAAGAGTGATGGGCTGGAGGTGTCACTCGGTAGAATGCTTGCCTAGCAGGCACCAGCCCCTGGGTTCCATCCCGCACACTTCAATAAAAGAAGAAAAGGGAAACTGAAGGGGAAGGGGAAGGAAGGGAGAGAATGATATCTCTGTGTCTTTCTGTTCCTTCCTCTCACTCCCCTCGCCCCTTCCTTTCCTTCAGGAAGAGACATCTTAATAGCCCCAGGATTAGAGAAACTAGAGCCTCCTTAGGATTATTAGAGCACTAAGCTTAATTCTTCTCTCCAGGGCAGCAGCCTGCCTCCACCTCCTCACCTGTAAGTGTCTTGATCTATGCTCACCAGATGGGTCCTGAGGACAGAGAACAAGAAGCCAAAGGGGAGGTGGCTGGGGTATGGGAGTTCATGCCAAAGCTCCACTCCCTTGGCTCCCCCTCTCTGCACGCTCTCCCAGTCTCCCCAGAGCACCCCAGTCCCCTAGGTTCTCACGTGTATCCTAGCACACTTCACTCACTGTTCTGCATCCCAGCAACTGACTTATTTCTTAGACCCAATCCCACTTTACTTTGGTTGAATGACCTACAACACAAATTTCTTAAAGCCCAGGATAGGGACGCTGACATTAGGGTCTTCCAGTTCAACACCAATTCTTCTTCGACTCAGGAACTTGAGCAGTCCTCCAAGTGCCCGGACCTGGGAGGGGATTAGCAGTGGAAATGGATGAAGCCCAGCGTCCCAGAAACTGGACAACACCAGGTCAAATCATTTTGTAGGGCTGGGGCAGTACACTATACAACTTAGCCCTAGGACTGGGGGCTTGTACCTTTCTCCAACAGCCCTCGTCCCCAAGGCCCAGCTCACCGTGAGGAGGCAGTCAAAGGGAACAATGGAGGAAAGGAAGAGGACTTTCTCAGAGGCAGTCATGGACTGAGGGATGAAGGTGTAGTTTCCAGAAAGGAGACGCTGTTTGCTTATCTCTGGACCTGTTTTGGGTAGCAAGGGAAAGGTCTTGTAGCTCAATTTTATCACCCCAATTCAACAGAAACAAATGATATTGAGGAGCTGGAGAGATGCTCAGTGGTTAAGACTGCACACTGCTCTTACAGAGGACCTAGGTTCAATTCCCAGCACCCACTTCAGGCAGCTCATAACCTCCTATAACTCCAGCACCAGGAGATTCAAGGCCTCTGGCCACTCAAATATACATCCCTCACCACCTCACACATACACACAATTAAAAATAATACATTTTTTTGAGACAGGGTGTCCCTGTAGCCCTAGCTGACCTGGAACTCACTATGTAGACCAAGCTGGCCTTGAATTCACAGAGATCCACCTGCCTCTGCCTCCTGAGTGCTGGGACTAAAGGTGTGTTACCTTGCCCAGATCCTCAAAACTGTTTTAAAAGTGTCACTGCTCCTTTTTCTCAGGGGAGGCCTTCATCCTGAACACACTAACCCAAGGCTTCACAATAAGCTATGGACTTATTAAAGGATAGGGAGCAGGAGAGATCTTAGGAGGACTGGTATTAGGGCAGAGGAAGGTTTCAGGTAAGAACAGGCTGATGGGGGTGGTTCTCTGATAATGGGGTAAAATTAAGAGGCAGGGTAGGACCTCTAGGATAGGAGCTGGAAAAGCAAAACGGAGGTACCAAAATCCATGCTTGGTAAAAATATGATTTCAGGTCTTTTTGTCTCTCTGTGCTCCTGGGAGGCTGTGGGGAGACAGAGAGAGGGCATCATTCTCATGCCTCAGCCCTGCCACTGCCCCCCCATCCAATTCTAGCTCCTGATATTTCCCACACCTTGTCCTGTCCCCTCTTCCCTCCTTTACACAGTCCTTACCAAGCTTCCCTAGAAACTGAGTCATATTCTCATCCTGTTTGGCACTTGTAACAACAGTCTGGGGACTGACTTCATCCAGAACTTGGAAAGAGAAGAAAGACCAATGAGTCAAAGGATATCTACACTCCAAGAGGAGCTGGTAGCCATCTACTTGCGTCTGTCTCTCCTCAAGAATTTGTCCTCTAGGAGTTAGGGAGTACACTGTACATTGGATGTATAGTCAGGAATGAGACTTCTTTTCTCAGTAGTTAGACTGGGGCTGGAGAGAGAGCTCAGTGGTTAAGAGTATTGACAGCTCTTGTAGAGGACATGAGTTCAGTACCCAGCACCTACATGGTGGCTAACAACTGTCCGTAACTCCAGTTTCAGGGGCTCTGATGCCCTCTTCCAGCCTCTGCAGGCATTGCACAACACAGGTGCACTTACATACATACCGACAGAACACTCATACACATAAAATAAAAATAAGTCGGGGCTGGAGCAATGGCTTCAAAGTTAAGAGCACTGGTTACTCTTAGACCCAGGTTTAAGTCCCATAATCCACATGATGACTAACAACCGTAACTCCAGTTATAGGGGATCACACACCCCTTTATGACTTCCATAGGTATTGTACACAGGTGCACTTACATACATACAAGCAATATACTCGTACACACAAAATTTTAAAAAAGAATTTTTTTTTGGTCTTTTGGAGACAGGGTCTCCCTGTAGCTCCAGCTGTCCTGGAACTCACTATATAGACCAGGCTGGCCTCGAACTCACAAAGATCCATCTGCCTCTGCCTCCCAAGTGCTGGGATTAAAGGAGTGTGCCACCATACCTGGCTAAAAATAAAGAATATTTTAAAAAATGAAAATAAAAATAAATTTAATTAAAAGACTGAGCTGGGGGGCTCGTGAGATAGATGGCTCAGCAGTTAAGAGCACTGACTGTTTTTACAGAGGACCTGGGTTCAAATCCCAGCACCCCCATGGCAGCTAACAACTGTCCTTAACTCCAGTTTCAGGGAATCTGATGTCCTCTTCTGTCCTCCTTGGCACTGCACAACACAGGTACACTCACATACGTGCAGGCGTAACACTCATATACATTAAAAAAAGAAAAAAAAAAAAGCTGGGCGTGGTGGCACACGCCTTTAGTCCCAGCACTTGGGAGGCAGAGGCAGGTGGATCTTTGTGAGTTCAAGGCCAGCCTGGTCTACATAGTGAGTTCTAGGGCAACTGGGGTTACAGGGAGACCCTGTCTCAA